GCCGCATAGTAGAGACTCTCAATTTTCTTTTCTGGATGTCTTTTATCTTCTTTTCAAGTATCTTATTTCGTTTCGATAAACTAATTAGTGGGCCAACAAAAATTAATTTTTGCCGACTAGCAAATTTTTCTACAATATCCGGCTCCTCGGGACACGCCCAAGTAGGCGCGCGGCCATGTAGGCGCAAAGCCATAACTACCTGAAAAATTTATGGACCTTAACAATTTTGGTACCAATATCTTTAGCTCGATGAGAGGAATCGTTTAATGCTAAATTTGGTAGGATTCAGAAATCTTGAAGCAAGTTATGACTTTGCGCCTACTTGGCCGCGCGCCTACTTGGGCCGTACCCATTACCACATCCAGCGATGGGTTGAAGCAATAATTTCCCCCAACAGATGCCCTAACACACGTTCAAATTTCAAACCTCGTATAATTACCTTCCCTCGATTAATTACTCCCTCCAGCTGAAGGTCGAAACAATAATTACCCAGGGTATTTATTAAAGGATATACGGTATATATAGTTTACGGGTCCTGTTTAAATCATACTTACCTTTTGTTTCTTTAATTATAAAATCGCAAATTTTCCGGAAACATTTAACCTTCCACAAGGGATGTCACGGGTAAATGTCCAGCTCGTGGCCTATATGTCCGCAAAAGGCATTCTGCAAAAATTTATTTTTTCGCTGCATTCTACTCCTTACCGTATCTCTCTTATTTCCCATCAGTCAACAAATGATAGGTTGACATTTTTTTCGAATCGAGTTTTTGATCAGAAGAATCTCCGAATTTTGGGTCGGGGCAGTTAAGAATTTGAATTCAGCCTAAATCTCCTTAATCCCGCCAAATCCCCGATATCCCTCAAAAATTTTTCAGGCGAGAAGTTTGAGAAATTTGAAAGGCCAATAATCAAGTTTTCTTCCTTTTACGGAAAAAAGTTTGGTACTTTTCGGTTATGAGGTCACACTTTTTAAAAAGTTTCAAAATGGTAAATATATCATATATAGGGTAGAAAAAGGTGCTGAGTCGAACGGTACCAATCTTTTTTCACGGAGATTCTTGTGGACCGAGATATAGGGCTCGAAATGGTCAAAAACCATAGACTCCATAGGTTTGCGTTGACCATTTTGAGCTTGTTCATCTGCTCTCAGAATGAAGATTTCGAACTGATTTTGGTGTCATTCGACTCAGCTCGAGGAGCTCTTTCGAATGAGCTATCATTCAAAAAATTTAATTTTTCACACCAAAAATGAGCTTACTACTCCCTATGGTTTTTGACCATTTCGAGCCCTATATCTCGGTCCACAAGAATCTCCGTGAAAAAAGATTGGTACCGTTCGACTCAGCACCTTTTTCTACCTTATATATGATATATTGACCATTTTGAAACTTTTTAAAAAGTGTGACCTCATAACCGAAAAGTACCAAAAGTTTACATAGAAAATATAGGATGCTTGAAAAAATTCGGGTTTCGGGTAACCCGAGACATCCCTACCTCCCACAGGCTTTATTATGCTCAAGTTTTTCTCTCACAACCCTAACCCAAGACATCCCTGCCTCCCACTGTCTTTACCATTCTCAGGTTTCTCTCACAACTCTCTTCAATACTGTACAACTTTCTCCCTCTCGATTATAATTTATTCTTCACCTAATCTATTAGTAAACCAATTTTCTCTCTATTCTAGGTTATTTTTACAAATATTTTTATTCCATTCATTGACAATTTATTTTTCATTGTTTCACAAAAAAAGATTGAAAATGATTGACAATACATGAATACTTGAAGAAAACAATAAAAGAAATAAAAAAAAATTTAAATTAAAAGCGAGGTGGGAAATAAAAATAAATTATTTTGGGAAATTTACAAATGAAAAGGTTGCAACAATTTATTGTTACGGCCGGATAAGCAGGGAAAGGTCAACAACTAAAAAAAAAGATTTATCTCCTGCAGAGCGCGAAATGTGGGGAGAAGAATAGCATGTATAAGAATGTAAAATAATTAAAAGTTGGCTTATGTGTAGAATTGGATATTCTATTAGACTTCTTAGACTTCCGGAATTAGACTTACGGAAAGCTTTGTTGTGTATGGGCGTTAGCCCTTAAAGGGATTAGTATAAAAGCCCAGCCAATAGTTAGTTCGCTCTCCCAGTTTTAGTTCTTCTGCCTACCTTCATCTGCTTTGTGTTTTAGTGTATGATAAACGTTTCTGTTAACTTCGTCTTCGTAAGCGGGGTCGTAACAGCTTGTATTTTAAATAAGGATTCCGGAATATGTTCTATTTGAAATCCGGAAAACCGTTTGAATATATTTCTTTAAAAATATTTATTAAATTTTCCGGATTATTATTTTACTTTCCGGAATGGATTCCGGAAATATTAGAGTATACTCGATTCTATGGAAATTTAGAATTAACCTTCCGTAATTTTACCCTTTATGTAACCATAAATAAAACAGAGAAATATACTAATCTACCTAATAAACATTCCGGAAACAATTTAAAAAATTTTTTCTTAACAATTATAACCTTTTAAAAGTTTCTCATCTTTCCGGAGCATTTACCTATTCTTACAATTCTTCCTTTATTTTTCACACTAAAAATAATTTCTTTTAATATTTGCGGCAGAATTTTTTCTATGTACTTCTCGAAAAATAAAATTCCGCCAAAGCAACTAAACAAAAAACTCTTGGCTCTAATTGCCATGCGGAAGGAAGCTTTTAAAGTTTTTTTTACCTCCACTTTTTCATCCCTATCTATTATCATCTCTATTTTTCTCATTCATTTCAGCCCTTTCATTTCAGCCGTGATTTTTATAAAATTTTCTACTTGACAAAAGTACCATTTATGTGTAGGTGAAAGTTGGTGACCGGCCATTTTGCATGAACAATGGACAGTATATTGAAAGGGGGATGAGAGGGCGCAAGTGGGGCGAAATGGAAGGGATGTATTGTAAAATATAAAAAAATTATTAAAAAGAGGGATGGGCAGGAAATTGTTTTATTTTTTTAAAGTAAGGGAATATAAGTCTAATTTCATATGAAATTTCTATGTTGAATTTGGACTAGGCAAAAAATGCTTGATAAGAAGTCTTATAAGGAATGCCTTTAAGGTTCTATTTTTTTAATTCTGAAGGTTTGGTATGGAGTGATTCTTCAAACTAGAGTTGGGCAAAACGATACTGGTATCGGCCAACCCGAGGCCGAGATTGTCCGATACTCAAGAACCCGATACCGAGACCGATACCATCATTTTGAGCCGAGACCGATACCGAGAAACGATACTGACCGAGACTAACAGAAATTTTTATTTTATGTCAAAAAATACGTGTAAAAATAATTTATTCATTATTAGTATAATAATTTATACCGGTGGAATAAGAGAGAGCGAGAATGAAAAACCGAGACCGATATTGGAAAAAAGCCGAGAATCTTGGTATCTGTATCTTCTCGTCTTGTCCAACTCTACTTCAACCCAATTTTCTGAAAAACTAGCAGGTCTACATGATCATATCCATCCGAGTTCGGACTATCCCAGTCCGGATGTGAAAATTATTCAAGGATTTGGAAAATACTGTAGTCTTCAAAATTTTCTAGATCGAGACCGATTCCTCGAATAAAATTGGTCCAAGGAGGAAGGAGAACCTTAAGAATCCATCTGAGTTCTGCCTATCTTCCAGTCTCGATCAGGGTGGCCCCTTTCAAAACACTAAAATGGGGCGCAGCCACTCAAAATAGAGCAAAAATAGGGTGAAATCGGCCAAAAATAGGGCAAAAATCAGGGCATATCTTTAGAAGCTTGAACATAATTGAGATTTCAAATAAGGCGAAAATTTTAAGATTTTGGAAGGCCAGGAAGTCAGAAATCCTACATTTTACTATTTTTTTACAAAATCCGAAGAATTTTTGAAATTTTACAAGACAGTAAAAACAGGGCAAAAATATGGCAAATGAGAAAATAGGGCTAAGATAGAGCGAAAAGGTCAAAAATAGGGAAAATCCTCTATAAATAGGGTCAAAGGGCCACCCTGGTCTCGATCCTATTTTCTCAACTTAATTTCCAATTTCCTACTCTATTTTCCATTTATTTAATAATTTTCCTACTTCTCAACCCTTTTTTTGTTCCAGCTTTTGGACTGCTCTTTTTTGAGTGGAAGAAAGACTTGGGAAGGGTTATTATTTATTATTATTTGTGTGTGAATTCTCTCCCCTACTTGTTCAACTAATTAGAGGGCGCGCATCCGAGCGGCCATATCCTTTCACTAAAAAAATTGAAAGGCATGTATAATACACAAAAACCATTCCGCCAAGTATATTTAAGGGATGAACAAAAAAGTATAATGAAAATTGAAATGGGTAGTTTTGGAATTTGAGTGGAAAAGAGGGGAAGGATTGTTTGAAAAAAAAAATTATTTTTTAATGGAGAAGAGAGGGAAAAATAATGGAAAAAATTATTACTAATTTAAAAAAATAAATATAAAAAATTAAAAATTTTATTAAAAACGATGAAAAACGATTCTTAAAGATTTTTACATTTCTTCGTTGAGGCCGAAAACCCATTGAGGCCGATTTCCCCATTGAGGCCAAAAATTTATCTTATAATGAAGTTATAATCTTTCGCTTCTGCAGCTAACCTACACGGTAGTGAACAAAATTTAAGTTCGCACTTAATTGAGGCCTATCTTATATGAAGAGAGACAATACTGTCGGACCTCGATCTCCCAATTTAAATACTCGTTACTTCAATATACAGACTTTATAACTGTCGGACCTATATAGATTTTCCTAATTTTCATACTCGTTAATTTAATATACCATATCTATTTCAGGCTGGGTTTCTAAAGGGTGGTGCTTTATCCTAGAAAATAATTGCAATTTCAAAAAATGCTCCCTAGTTGGTCTTACCAAGCGATAATTCATATTTTAACGTACCTCTCATTATAGTAAAAAAAATTCCAAAAAATATAAAAAATTCCATAAAAAATTCCAAAATATATAAATTCTCTATTTAGCCGTACGTGAGGATCGAATGCGCGGAGGTCGCAACAAGCTAGGAGTCTATTACAAACAGGACAGAGCTGCACGTTCCAAAATCTTGCAGCAAAGCACTACACGTAGTTCATCTACTAACAACCCGCAAAATCCCCACCAACAACAATTAATGATTTATGCTAATGGTCTGAATTTCTATGAAAACAATAATTCAAATAATGAGACTACAGTAACCCGCCCAAACCCTTATGGAAATGAAACATTTTCTGGTGGGGTTAAAGCAAAGAGAGCTAAAAGGGAGGTTGCTTCAACATATGGAAATTCGGGGTAATTTGTTAAATTTTTTTTTCCAACTTTCCGGAAGGCTGGAAATTTTTCCGGAAAGTTTACAATTTGGAAAAGATTTACACCCCGATGTACCGCGAGCCCAATGAACCGATAGCTATAACTTTGTTCAAAATTGTCGAATCACTGGCGCCCTGGTATGGTTCGATGCGGCTCGAGAAGCTGAATCGAACCTTACCAGGGCGCCACGGATTCTACAATTTTGAACAAAGTTATAGCTCCGCGGTACATTGGGCTCGCGCTACACTGGCCTGCTCCCATTTATTACTTTATTAGGAAAATAGGCAAAATTCGAAATCAGGTATAGCACATTTGTCGGATCCAGATTCTGGATTTGGAACTAGAGTTGAACCGGATCCGACCGGATTTTTTGTATTAATTTGTCCGGAAAAATCCGGCACTCTCAAAATAACCCGATTTGTTGATCCTGACATAGGAAAAATAGACCTGATTGGATCCGGCACCGGGCACTAATAGAAATTATAGGGCTTTTCGGAATTTAAATATTGTGTTCCGGAAAGTTTAAATTTTGTATATACTTATGTTAGGGAAAATTCCAAATCAGGTATAGCTAAGTTGTCGGATCCGGATTCTGTATTTGGAATTAGAGTTGAACCGGAACCTACCGGATTTTTTGAACTATTCTGTCCGGAACAATCCGGCACTCACAAAATGCCGTATATCCTTTAATAACTACCCTGGGTAATTATTGTTTCGACCTTCCGCTAGAGGGAGTAATTAATCGAGGGAAGGTAATTATATGAAGTTTGAAACTTGGACGTGATTTAGGGCATTTGTTTGAGGATAATTATTGTTTTAATCTATCGCTGGATGGGGTAATTAATGGAAGTTGGGCAATTATTTGACGGATGGCAATTAATACAGGTTATACGATACCTTGCTTTGTGATCCTGACTTCGGAAAAATAGGCTTGATCGGGTCCGGCACCGGGCACTAATAACAATTATAGGGGCTTTCCGGAACTTAAGTTCCGGAAAGTCTACAATAAAGATTTATTTTGTATAATAAAATTCTTTATAAATTCTTTTGAGTTTCCCGCAAATCCTTTATTTTATCTAAAAATGCGGGAAATATTTAAAAATGTATCATTTTAAAATATTTAAAAATACATATATTATTGCAAAAACAATGCCGCTATACACTTCAGCTAATCCTTTTCACATAAAATATTTGAATATATTTGCAAATATTTTTAGTTTTTTATGTTTCTAAATTTTGGGAATAATGCAAATTTTTTTTTGAGTGTGAAAAAAAAAATAAAAATTAATTGGGTACTTTTGTGTCCTTCCTACAGATGGTAGTGCGAAACTTGCGGACCGACTTTTGCGGACCATAGGTTTAGGTTTTTGTTTTTCTATCGTAACTTTGTCCAAGCTTGTACAATCACGATGATTTTGATGTCATTCGACTCAGCTCGTCGAGCTCTTTCGAATGAGCCATGTTTTGAGAAATTCGTCGGTCCGCAAGTTTCGGTCCGCAAAAGTCGGTCCGCAAGTTTCGGCCTGCCATACGGATGGGTCCAACCCTGATATGAAGTGCTTCTTGGGTATTTTCTGGTACTTTTCTATGCAGCTTCCCCCACCCAATGGTCATCAAACTCTTTAGATTGAGGCTTAAAAAGTATTTGACTGGTTTTCCTCATTTTTAAATACCCAATTGGAGAGCAAAAAAGTTTTCTTGGGGTTTCTTGGGTTCTTGGGTTCAAAAATGTGATTTTTCATAACTTTATCGATGAAAACTTTTCTACCAGTCAGTCGAGAATTTTGATTTTTTGGTTCTCTATCCATTTATACCAAGAACTTCAAGAGTGGCCATACAACCTCAAAAGATATAGGCATTGTGACATTTTTTGGATTATAGGCATTGTGACTCAGCTATGACCGGACCCAGTTAATTTGTCTCGCTCCCCCCCCCCCGTGTCGACGCAGAAGACCCACAGACAGAAGACCCAAGGACAGAAGACCCACAGACAAAAGACCCACAGACAGAAGACCCACAAGGACAGAATACCCACAGACAAAAGACCCACAAGAAAATTTTTTAACTATAACTTTAGAAGAAATTTTCTGAAATTCCTGAAAAAGATTTCCAATTTCTCAAGGCACAAAATTAATAAATTTTAAAATATAAAAAAATTTATTATAAAGTTAATCAAAAGAATTTTTAGCGTTAAATTTTATGAATGAGTGCGATTTAGATCATTTAATTAGAAAGTGATTTTAAGAGTCGAGTGATTAATTGGGATATGTAGGAATAGCGTGGGATATAGAGAATATAGGGGTAAAGTCCCGAATCTACCGATATCTATTCTTATCCGTGAATTGTGTATAACAGGAACCAGGAGATGGAATACTACTATATCTTTCTTGACAGTAAATCGGATATGTCAGAAAATTTCAAGGGATGTAAACCTTCTAAGCTTTTACCACTAATCCGCCTTTATCCACCGATATTTCTCAATGTTACTCAGAAATAATTAACTAATCTCTACTATCCCAAAGATCCCCGATATCCTTGCATATCTCCAATACCCTTGATCGCTTCTAATCCTTCTATATCCCTCCATGGGGCATAACTGACTCTCGCTATAATCCAGTTAATCCTAAATACCTCTTGTTTCAAATATCCCTTTGATCTACTTTTCCCTTTCATCGTCACAGACAAGACTTTTGGAAATGTTGAAAGGCCAAGAACCCATTTTTCTACCTTTTTAGCGATACAGGTGCGAATTCGCTATCTTTATACTATTTTTTTATATCTGAACCACAATAAACGGGAAACAAAAAATATTTGTGGGTCTTTTGTCTGTGGGTATTCTGTCCTTGTGGGTCTTCTGTCTGTGGGTCTTTTGTCTGTGGGTCTTCTGTCCTTGGGTCTTCTGTCTGTGGGTCTTCTGTCACTACGCCCCCCCCCTCCTCCCCAATGGCCACCCAGGTTGAAAAAAACAGAAGTTGATATATATAGTATTGTGCGTGTATTAGAGTAAGGTCAGGCTGATATATTCAAATTAAATTTTCTAGAGTCCACCAACAACAACAACAGGTTACTTCAAAATATTCGAGTGCCGCATATTTAGGAGGATTGCCTAAACAGCAAGAACAAATCAACTCGAACATAACATCCCACCAACACTGTTCTTCTACAATGACCGGTTTTGATGTTTACCTTCAATCACCAACACTTTCTTCTACTTCCTCAACAAATTCTTCAGCTAATGGAATTTGTTAGTTGAAATAAAAAATTATTAAAAAAAGTTACTAAACCGCCTCTTTGTTTTAGTGGTTAGCACCTTAGGAACTTGCAAGCTGGCGACAGTTCCTGAAGTTTTCTTCAATGTAATCCCCCTTTCTACGAAATCGGGAATTTATTTCTTATGCCGCTTTATCACTAGTTTTTGTATATCATGTAAACAACTTGATCGAATCGTGGGATTATTTATCTGGATCCTATTACTTACATTACTTACCAAAGATAAAAATAAATTTGCCAATGATAAATATAGGCAAATGAAGACCCAATTCTAGAAATTAGCAAGCTTCCTTTAATATACTGGGCCATTAGGGCGCGGGGACATTAGGGCGCGAGCTTATAAAACAGTGAGTTACTTATCAAAAAAGATAAAATTTTGCAATGATAACTCTCATGCCTTTATCTACGTTCTCCAAAAATTTCAGAATTTTTGATCAAGAATTTCGGAAATTGTGGCCAAAAATGTTGATTTTCCGAAAAAACCCTAATTTTTCGCGGTTTATCGACTATAACTTCAGAAATATTCGATGAAATATTCTGAAATTTCTGAAGGAGGTAGTCAAGGATGTGTAAGAAATTTGAGAAAATTTTTATGAAGTTGGGTCTTGCCTAAGTGTCAGTTTCTAGTGCTGGCGCCCTAATGGCCCCGCGCCCTTATGACCCCAACCCACTTATATTACCTAAAAACAAAGCTTAATTTTCCTTAAAAGTTGGTTCATCTACTGCCTCAACACATTTATCTAACGTAGATAACAATGGAGGCCTTGCTATGCTTCTTGGCAATTCAATCCAACCTTTGGAGGAGAATCATGAAGCTTCAACGTCTATAGCTCCGATGATGATGAATCCATTGCCGTTCCACTTATATGTAGGAATATTTTAAATTTATTTTTAAATTTTATTTTTAATTATAATCGTATCTAACTATAATATATTCTTTTTTTATCTGATAACAAATCCAATTGGCTATTGCTAAGCATATAGCTATTAATTTCCTAAGGCTGAGCAGTAGTCGGCGTGGTGTAATGGCTAACACATCAGTCCGGTCTACTGAAGATGCTGGTTCGCTCCCAGCCGCCGAATAACCTTTTGCACTAGCTAAAGGAGAGAAATAGCTATAGCCCGGCTGCTTTACTATTTTATTTTTAAATACAATTATATCACAGTATAAGATACTCTTTTTGTCCCGAGAAATCACTATCTGGTAACGAAATTCACTAACTATTAGTTGTATCCTAATATCTATCACAAACATTAAACCTCATTTCAAAAACGTAGCTTGTACTACAATTGGTTCCGTGACTTTTGCGCCGAGAACATTTGCGCCGCGACTTATGCGCCGCGACTTTTGCGCCGCGACTTTTGCGCCGAGCGACTTTTGCGCCGGGGAACATTTGCGCCGCGACTTTTGCGCCGGGCGACTTTTGCGCCGCCACTATCATTAAAAATATATCAATAACTACAGCCGGACCTCACTTTAGTAGGGTTGTTGGATAGTTGGAAATCTTCGGATATCCGGATCCGATATCCGAACTGAAAATTTCGGATATCCGGCATTTTTCGTATCCGGATTTTTTAAACAATGGCGGCGCAAATGTCGCGGCGCAAGAGTCGCGGCGCATAAGTCGCCCGGCGCAAAAGTCGCGGCGCAAGAGTCGCGGCGCATAAGTCGCCCGGCGCAAAAGTCGCGGCGCATAAGTCGCGGCGCAAATGTTCTCGGCGCAAAAGTCGTGATACCCTACAATTATGGGATATGTCGAGTCGGGTAACCAGTCTGTTAAATTAGTCTTCGTATCGTTTTTCGGATTGAGACAAGTCATGGCCTAGGCTAACCCGTCCCATGACTGCTACAGTTACATAAAATTCGCATGACATTCGACTATAACATCGTTAGATGAAGACGGGTTTATTAGGTTTACAAACTCAAAAAATCACAAGAAAGAAAGCACAAGTACTCAAAATTGCAAAAAGATGTCGGCATCTGAGTTTAGTTTAGAACCCGGACCTAGACGAGACCTCAATTATTTTACACTCTAAAAATTGGCAAAATCACGAGCGACTTTTCTCTTCTATTTTTCAATTATCATTTTTCGTACTTGAGGTTTATCTTGTGTATTATAGTATAATACAGGGATGTCACGGGTCGAAGTTGCGGGTTTGCGGGTTTGTAATTTTGCCCATTTTCTTATATCCGAAAATATTTGAAAAAGTGTATACGGAGTAATTTTTGTCAATTTTTTATGATTTTTTTGCGTGTTTTGAACAGAATTTAAAATTTTTTACCAATTCTTGGCAGTTTGTCTGTCAAACATAAGGCTATACAAATAGAAAATTATTTGTGAAATTGGACCAAAAATAAAGGCCCAGGGTTCTTTTTAACCTACTCCATATACACTTTTTCAAATTAATTCCATATATAAGAAAATGAGAAAAATCTCATCCCGCAATCGTCGACCCGTGACATCTCTGGTATAATATTGTATAGTTAGGTCCGACTAGGAATACTTACTTTCTAGTCATGAGTTATTAGTCTAGTAATTATCTGAACTGTCAGTCAGTTTAAACTTTCAAGGTCATTAAAAAAATACCTAGAACCACCCATACACAAACAAAGGAATTAAAAATTTAAAAAAAATTAAATATTTTTGATGGCCTTCAACTAATTTTTTTACTTTTACAACAAAAAACATGTAAAAAATTTTATTTCTTTGTTTAGCCCCTAACCTCCGCTCACAATGCTCACACACATTTACAACAACATTCATCTGTTTCAAACAATAAAAACAACATTCCACCCTCTGTAGCTGTTGTACACAATGTGGGCGGTAACAGGTAATATTTGTATAAATAGGGCTTGCCTTAGTACTAGAGGTCGGTATAATCGCATTCACGGGATCCCGTACGGGATTTTTTTCTAAAATTTTTGCGGGACAGGATCCCGCGGGATTAATCCCGTAATCCCGTTCGTCGCTAAAAATACGGGATTTCGGGACAGGATCCCGTAAAATCCCTTACGGGATCCTGTCCCGTGAAGACCTCTAATTAGTACCCTGATCTAGACGAGCTCTCAAATTAAAACTCGGTCTAAAGAGAAAGAAAATTTTTCCATATGTCAATCATGATTCTCTTATACACTGGGGTTGTTGTATTTCGAAAAAAGACCGTATATCCAGAAATTTTTGGTTCGGATATCATATCCGGATATCCTAAGGTTTCCAACTACCGACAGCCTTATTATACACTAGTGATGCTCGGGAGGAAAAAAACTCGGAAATTGGGAAACTGGAGTCGGGTCGGGAATTGACACCGGGAGTCGGGAGCGGGATACCCGAGCATCACTATTATACACACTCACAGTCTAGTTTTTAATTGAGTTGTATAATACAAATACCTAAACTTTCCTTTAAGTCTTAAGTTCTAATATTTAAGCTTAAACTTGAAAGCTTGAGCTTTCAACTTAATTAAAAATTTTCTATTATTTTTATTGTTTCCGGAAATGTTGCAGTAAAAGTTGATTGTTCCGGAAAGTTTAATTTCTCTGTTTTTATCGAGGCTTCCAACAAATTTTAAATATTCCTTTTATTTACAGCCTCGGCCCAAGTTCTAGTGCCAGCAGCAGCGGTGTAAGCAGTTCAGGACTAAATTCCCCTCCCTTGCCAATCCCCTCATCTTCTTCATTTTCCCCTTCAACTTCAAACAAATATGCTTCCAATATTCACCACCAATTACCCCTTGTAAATGTCAAAAATGAAATTCCTTCAGCTGCGATACACGCAACAGCCCCTTTGCACCCATCAATGTATCATCAGTCTTCGGCAGTTGGATACTCGCCTATTATGCCTATCACAACGCCTACTCTGCATATGACGTAATTTTTGAATATTTTTTTTTGAATTCGAAATAAATTAAATTTCGTAAATTTGGAATATTTAAGGGAAGCCCCTCCTAATTAAAGCCTTTTTTTGATTTAAGAAAAATAAAATTAACTTTCAAAAATAACGGAAATACGGCGAAAGTCGCAAATTCGGGGTTGGGGCCGTTTTGGCGTCAGAACAAAAATATGGCACTTAGGCGATACATAAATTCTTAAAATTTTTCTCAAATTTCTTAAACATCCTTGACTACCTCCTCCAAAAATTTCAAAATTTTTCATCGAATATTTCTGAAGTTTTAGTCGATGACCAGAAAAAATTAGCCATTTTTCAGAAAAAAGACATTTTTGGCCATAAGTTCAAAAATTTTTGCTCAAAAATTCTGAAATTTTTGGAGAACATAGATATAGGTACGAGAGTTGTTATTGTAAAATTTTATCATTTTTGATAAATAACTCGCTATCTTATAAGCTCGCGCCAAAACGGCCCCGCGCCAGAACGGTCCAGTCCACAAATTTGGCGAAAGTCGCAAGTGACAGGCACATTCTTGTTACAAATAAATACTTCCGGAAAGCTAGGAATTCTCTTTTCAACAATATTTTCACTTTTAACCCTACAGAACATCATTACACGTAACAACACCATTACAACCCTACTTACTCCCTCACCATCACGGCATTCTACATTCCGGAGGCCCCTTAACAAACAATCCCCACCACCACCAATCTTCTTCGGGACATCAACAACAATTATTACCTCTTTGCCAAATGCCCCCTATCGAAGGTGTTTTTTATGGTAACCATCACCAGCAGCAACAACAAACATCCTTTTCTAATTTAAACGGAAATGGGGAGGTTACTACTAGTGGAGGTGGACGGCTACTTATTGAAGAGCTTTGTTTGTCCCCTCAACTTGATCGGTTTTGCTTTGGAATTATTTTAATAAAAAAAAATTTTTTTAAGGCCTGTTCTAATTACTCTACAGTCGATTCGAACTTGTGGTGAAACATACAGTTCTTCACTAGATTTTTGTCTGCAAGTGATTACAAAACATTTAGATACTAATATTCTTTGGGCTAAAGTCGACGAACTATTCAAAGGCTTAAATGTATATTTTTAATATAATAGTATAATCCTTCATATTATTCCGGAAAGTGTAATATATTCTTCCGTAAAGTTTAATATATTCTTCCGGAAAGTTTTATATATTTTTCCGGAAAGTTTAATATATTCTTCCGGAAAGTTTAATATATTCTTCCGGAAAGTTTAATATATTCTTCCGGAAAGTTTAATATATTCTTCCGGAAAGTTTACTATATTTTTCCGGAAAGTTTAATATATTCTTCCGAAAGTTTAATATATTCTTCCGGAAAGTTTAATATATTCTTCCGGAAAGTTTAATATATTCTTCCGGAAAGTTTACTATATTTTTCCGGAAAGTTTAATATATTCTTCCGGAAAGTTTGATATATTCTTCCGAAAAGTTTAATATATTCTTCCGAAAAGTTTAATATATTCTTCCGGAAAGTTTAATATATTCTTCCGGAAAGTTTAATATATTCTTCCGGAAAGTTTAATATATTCTTCCGGAAAGTTTAATATATTCTTCCGGAAAGTTTAATATATTCTTCCGGAAAGTTTAATATATTCTTCCGGAAAGTTTAATATATTCTTCCGGAACGTTTAATATATTCTTCCGGAAAGTTTAATATATTCTTCCGGAAAGTTTAATATATTCTTCCGAAAAGTTTAATATATTCTTCCTGAAAGTTTAATATATTCTTCCGGAAAGTTTAATATATTCTTCCGGAAAGTTTAATATATTCTTCCGGAACGTTTAATATATTCTTCCTGAAAGTTTAATATATTCTTCCGGAAAGTTTAATATATTCTTCCTGAAAGTTTAATATATTCTTCCGGAAAGTTTAATATATTCTTCCGGAAAGTTTAATATATTCTTCCTGAAAGTTTAATATATTCTTCCGGAAAGTTTAATATATTCTTCCGGAAAGTTTAATATTCTTCCGGAAAGTTTAATATATTCTTCCGGAACGTTTAATATATTCTTCCGGAAAGTTTAATATATTCTTCCGGAAAGTTTAATATATTCTTCCGAAAAGTTTAATATATTCTTCCGGAAAGTTTAATATATTCTTCCGGAAAGTTTAATATATTCTTCCGGAAAGTTTAATATATTCTTCCAGAAAGTTTATGATATTCTTCCGGAAAGTTTAATATATTCTTCCGGAAAGTTTAATATATTCTTCCGGAAAGTTTAATATATTCTTCCGGAACGTTTAATATATTCTTCCTGAAAGTTTAATATATTCTTCCGGAAAGTTTATTATATTCTTCCGGAAAGTTGCAATTATAATTCGATGTTATTTCCTGAATGTCTTTATAATCTTTCCGGAATATTACAAATACATATATTCATAGCCATTATTCTTTTATTTCAACCTCTTTATAGGAGAACTGTCGTTCTATGCAATTTCTCAATGCTTGGGCTGCTTTACATTTAATAGACTTTGCCTATGCTTTATTAAAAGGAGAATTATCCAACAAAATTAATTTTCCACTGTCAGATGGAAATATGGGGTAATTGAAGTTATTTTTATTTTTCATTTTTATAATTTAAATTTTGTAGAAGTATTGATACTCATACACTTGCCCTTCTAGGATGCAATGAGTTGTTTAACGAGTGGAATGCTATTTTGCAGGTATTTATTTTATTTAATTTTTATTTTTAATTTTTTTCTGAGGGTTTAAAAAATTTTTTTAAATTTTTTGAAAAATTATTAAAAATTTTCGCTTTCAGCAATTACGTAATTACCAATTTGGGAAGGCTGATTATGTTGCCTTCAAATATATAACCCTTTTGGATGTTTGTTTTTATCGAGGTAAATAAGATTTAATCTAAAAAAATTCAAATAAATTTGATTAAAATTCCTTCTAAAACCTATTTCTAATTTAATCTTTCCGGAAGCTGAATAGATCCTTCCAGAATTATTTGTTCTTTATATTTTCCGGAATATTAAACAAATATCAAAAATCAAATAATAATAATAAAAAATAAATTTATTTTAAATCTAGCCCCAAACGATCCCCCTAATATCGTCAGTCAATATGATAAAGTAGTTCAAATGCATGATCAAGTACTTCATAGTTGGCTTCATCTTCGAAGCTATTCCGGCAATCCATCTATAGCCAAGTCAGATTCTCTCCAGAAATTTAGGTGAATTAATTTTTTAGAATTTTTAAAGACTTTTATAGGGAATATTTCTGGGACACGCCCAAGTAGGCGCACGGCCAAGTAGGCGCAAAGCCATAACTCCCTGGAAATTTTCTGAACCTTAACAATTTTGGTACCAATCTCTTTAGCTCGATGAGAGGAATCGTTTAATACTAAATTCTGAAGGATTCGGAAATCTTGAAGCAAGTTATGACTTTGCGCCTACTTGGCCGCGCGTCTACTTGGGCTGTACCCAATATTTATATATTTCCGGAGAAATGGATACCCGACAAGTTTAATATACATACTCTCTGAATATTTTCAAACTTTCAGGAAGGTTTAAATATTTAAGTTTATTTTTTGGAATGTTTGATATAATATTTCCGGAAAATTGTAAATAATCGTTATTAGTTTTATATATTTTCTGGAATATTGAATATTACCTTCAGATAAGTTGGAATTGTTGTATAAATATATTATTGCATCTTTCCGTATTACCTTCCGGAAACCTTCCGTAAACCCTTCTGTATGGGTACACCCCAACCTACCGCCGAGGCTATAACTTCATTTAAAATGGTCGAATCTGAGAAACTTGGTATGGTTGGATTCAGCTCGTCGATGCATATCGAACCATACCAAGGCTTCCTGGATTCACCAATTCTGAAAGAAGTTATAGCCTCGGCGGTAGGTTGGCCTGCTCGCCTTCCGTATTGCAGTAAATAAATCTTTCAGGAATTATTTATATTTTCCGGAATATTGAATATAACTTCGTTTTCCGGAAAGTTTAATTAACCACCTTCCAGTAAGTTATTAATAAATTCTTCCGGAAGGTTGAAAAATAATTAAACAAGCAAGAATAAACCTCTATCATTTCACTGTCTTATTTTTTGGTTAAATTTATTTTTATTCCAACATTTTTAATTTTTTAAAATTATTAAAAAAATTTTTTTCAGTCAATTAGCTTCTAAATGTGTAGAACGTCTTCGTTCCAGACTCAATCAATCACCGGAAATACAAAATATTCCAGGGTTCCTGAGTGAAATGCTATTTACTAATAAAAATGTAGGCATTGGTGGAGGTACAAAACTTGTTGATTAAAATTAATTTATTTTTTTTAATTTTATAATTAATTTTTTTTTTATTTTAAAATTAATTTATTTTATTCTTTTCTTAGGGCATTTTCTTAAATTATTTTTTTTTAATTTTTATTTTTTTAATTTTTAAATTAGCTTTTTTATTTAAATTATTAGTTGATAAGTCATTTTATCTTTAAAAAAAGTAAATTCAAAACATTAATTTTAAAATAGTCACCTCACCTTAAAATAGACTAAAAAGTAATCTCTAATAAGTTGGGGGTAGGGTATCACTTACAAAGGAGAGCCTTTTGGGTGTCCGTGGGACTTCGGGATGAAATTTGGTACACAGTTAGATCACACTCTTTCTATTGTAAAACTGGAAACCGTTTCCGCTGAATGGTACCGTGGACCGATTCAAGAACGCTACCACTGCACCACCGGTGAACACATTTATAACTGAAAAGAAATTGTTTATATAAGGAAAAGAAAACTTTGGGGGCTTATAACTCGGTCCACGGTACCATTCAACGGAAACGGTTTCCAGTTTTACAATAGAAAGGGTGTGATCTACTTGTCTACCAAATTTCATCCCGAAGTTCCACGGACACCCAAAAGGCTCTCCTTTGTTAAACAGCTTTTTCCTCTCTTTCCGTAAAACTCCGGAAACATTATTTTCTGTCACTTAATTTATAGTAACGAATTTCTTAAAAATACTTTTCTGGAATTAAATTTCCTGGAAAATTAAACTGTCCGGAAAAGTAAATTTACGTTACATCATTTTCGTTCTATAAAATAATTACCTAAATATTTTTAGCTCAAAACTACGTAATTACGATTTAATAAACGTTATTTTCTTATTCAATTAAAATTTTCTGCTCATTACCTTTTGCTAAATTTAATACATTATTTTTGGAAAAAAAAAATTATTTTTTAACTAATCTTTGTTTAATTAAATATTTTTTGAGGGAGGTTTTTGGAAGATAAAATGATTTTTCACTAAATATTATATGGTTGAGCTCGTTTTGGCGCCGGGCCGTTTTGGCGCGAGAACTAAAAACTGGTACCCAGGCGATACATAAATTCTTAAAATTTTTCTCAAATTTTTTTAACATCCTTGACTACCTCTTCCAGAAATTTCAGAATTTTTCATCGAATATTTCCGAAGTTATAGTCGATAGACTTCGAAAAATTAGGCATTTTGCAGAAAATCAACATTTTTGGCCATAATTTTCAGAATTCTTGCTGAAAAATTCTAAAATTTTTGGAGAACCTTGCTGAAGGCACGAGAGATATTATTACAAAATTTTATCATTTTTGATAAACAACTCGCTATCTTATAAGCTCGCGCCAAAACGGGGGCGCGCCAAAACGGCCCAGTCCCAAAATTATATTTTTTATTAATTATTATTTATTTTTATTTATTTTCTTCTCAAAATATAAAATGCAACAATAATTATTTTTTATTTTACTCTTTTTTGGTTTTTAAAACCATTTGAGGCCAACAAATTGCCAGTATTTGTATATAGCTAAAAATAATATTCTCTTTTCTAAATTTATTTTTAATTAATTAATATAATCTAAAATAATTTCCATTTTTATTTATTATTGTTTAATTTTATATAATTTATTTGTCAATTTCAAAAATTGCTTTTATTCATTTTATACAGTTTTGCATTTATGTGTTATTCATTTTTACTCTTATATTCATTTATATTCAACCTATTTATTTTTTATAATTTTTTCCGGAAAGTTTATAACAGAGGTGGGTCGGAACAATCAGAGGTGTCGGAAATCGGAACTGTCGGAAATCGGAAATGGCTCAAAAGTCGGAACACGGAAATCGGAAATCAAAATTTTTTTCGGAAATCGGAAGGAAAAAAACGTCGGAAATCGGAATTCCGACCCACCTCTGGTTCATAACAAGAATTAGGTTTATTTATTTTATACATGCATACATTATATATTTCCGGAAACGTAATATACTATTTTATTAAAATCAAAACTTTCCGGAAGACTAATATAAAAATATATTTTCCGGAAAAATTCATTCATCAAAAATACAATTTCACAGAAACTTATACAATTCCGGAAGAATACTAATTTTTTAAAATAAAACTTTCCGGAAACTATTATTTAATTAAATATAAAACTTGCCGGATGAGTAATATAATTCTCAGATTATTTTTTTGAAGTAAAAACAAAACTTTCCGGAACTGACATAATTTTCCGAAAGTTTAATTTAAAAAATAAAACTTTCCGGAAACTAGTATAATTTTCCGGAAAGTTTATTTTATTAAAAATATAACTTTCCGGAAATATAAAGTTATATTTATAATTTAAATAAAAAGAAAAATATATTACATTTCCGGAAAGTTTATTTCTTCAAGAAATATTATTTAATAATTTATATTTTTATAGTTTCCGGAAAAGTTATAATTTCCGGAAAAGTTATAATTTCCGGAAAAAGTTTATAATTTCCGGAATATTTATTACATATTGTAAAATGACTAATATAATTAATAATTCTCATTCATTTAGCAATACCTTTGTGCATATATTTTCTATTTAACAATTAAATTATACAAAAATCTTCCGGTTTTTGTTAATTTATTCCCTTTACATTTTCTTCTATTGTATTTTATTAATTTATTTTTCAAAAACTTTTTTTTTAATTTTTTTTCTTGCCGCATTAATTATTTTCACTTCAAATTATTATAATCTCTCTTGCCTTTTTGCTTTCTATTTTTTTAATGTGTTGCCTTTTATTTTAACATTTATTTTTCAGGTTTTTATTTTTTTATTCGCAATTATGTAATATTTTTTTAATAATTATTTTCATTAAAAATAAATTTTTTGAGTGGCTTTTTTAGAGTTTTTGATTAATTTTTGGACTATAAAAAAGGAAAGGGGAACATTTTAACATACATAAAGATAGGGGCAAGAGGAATTAAACTGAATATTATTTTAAGTATTTTAATTTTCCCCTCCCTCTCTCCCTGGTTACGGGCCTGGTATAGGTTTTTGTACCTCCAAAATTCTGAAGATTTTCGTTTGTTAAGCTAAAAGTGAATTTTTTGCCTTATGGCCTTCTAAAATTCTCAAAATTTTCGCCTGCGGCGCAGAAAAAGGAAGAAATCTGGCTTCTTGCTTTCCAAAATTTTAAAAAATTTCTGCCTGAGTAGGGTATTTATACATACATACATTATTTATATTTTTTGGTTCTTATTAAATAGAAAAATATAGTAGAGCTTCAGTTTTAGACATACTTCGAAGATGAAAAACTCTTGAAATAATCGAATTTTAAATTAGTGTATTGCTTATGGCTATCCTCTAACAATGACATTAAAAACATAAATCTTAAATTAGAGTTATAACTTTTTTGGAAAGTGGACGTATAATTTTGCGTAGGTCGAAACACAAATTTTGTTCTAAAATTTTTTAAAATAAAAATTCTGCCAAAAATCCATACAAATCTTGTTAGTTATTCACTAAGAGGTATGTATCTAAATTTTCAGAAAATTTGGATCAATACAAACGAAAAAATTCCAAAAAAATGGGCTGGATGTATAATTTTGCGTCGCAGTGTATATAGTTTTTGAGTTAACTAAAAACACATTCGAAGCTTCCTTTCCTCTGCAGAATTCTACATTTTTTGACCTTTTGTTTCCGAGCATTTTAAAATTTCTTGTTTATTGCATTAAAAATTTTTAATTATTTCACTCCAAAAAATAGAAACAAAAAATTGCAGAAATTTTGCTAGAAATTTAAAAATAGGGAAAGACCAATAATAAAAAATTTTTATAATTTTTCTTTTAACCGGAACAATCATAATTTAATTTATTAATAAATTATAGCTTGTGTAAAAATATAAACAAGTTTATATTCTTGTAGCTTATAGTTTGCTAATGCTTTAAATTTTTTTATTATTTTT